GAATAACAGATTCAGACAAAAACAAACCTCTAAATAAGTCACAGTGTGCTTAAAACATCTGTGTAGGCTTGAGAAAGAGAGGAAAGGGATAGAGACAGTCATAGATCAAAAGAGTAATTTAAAGATAATAAAATGAGGTCCTTAAAGAAAAAATAAAGTAATAAAAATTACTATAATCCATGTAAAGATGGAAAATACACAGAGAATCTAGATTATGTGCACTATTGCGTTTTCTTTATTTTTTACTGTTAATAAGCTAATTGCTAACAGATATTTGATTATGGGGGCTATTAAGATTTATAATATATATACATATATATATTATCTTGACCTCAAAATTTAAATCTGAGACTATGTTGCTTTAGAGAAGCAGTTCTGCTTTTATTTCCACAGAAAATGAGAAGTGGTAGATTCCTTCCATGTTAAAATGGTTTGATCAAGTAAAACACCCTGAAAAGTCTCTGATGGGAGTGATGGCCCAGGTGGTCCAACATCCATAACAGCTTCAAGGCAACTGTCTGAGACAATGTAGCTTCACAGACTACTACCTACAGTCAAGTATTTAACCATAATTCTAAGTTTACTCAGGATCCCCATAAGATTATCAGCACCTCCAGTCAGCAGGAAGTAGTATAGAAAACTATGTCCATATTCCCAAAATATTGTTTATGAATGTTTGTTTTCATTTAAAGGGGGTTGTTTATAAATGATTAATGGTCGTAGTCAATTTGTTTCTAAAGAAAAAAGGGGGATATGATATAGAAATGTACTTTAATCCAAAAAGTCTACTGTTAATCTCACAAAACACTGATATGGATTTTGGTTTATTGACACAAATTTAAGGTCAATTTTGCTACACTATACTTTATTTCTATTCTTGTTTAAGGTTTTATGTTTATGCAGCTAATTTAAAAATGTAATGTGTAGTTAGGAAATACAAATTAATAGTCATATATTATAATAAAACTTATAGTCATGTTAGTTAGGTTTTATAGATATGCAGATATACTTCAGATGGATAGGCAATCTTCAAACCCTTCAAAGACCTGTAGAATATGGCATTAAAGTTTTTAAAAATTTTGACTTTTCTTGACAATGAGACACATTTGCTCCTGGCAGCATCAATTACTTCAAGGCCAGAAAAAGCACTGAAGAGGCTCCTTATGGCATTTGCTTTCAATGTGCCAAGGCTAGCCACTTGGGCAATAAACTGCTCTTTCCTGGACTGATTGGCAATATGCTGTATAAACTGATCATGCAGGTCCAATACAAAAGTGACTGCTGAATTTGCAAACACAAGATGGGACAGTTCTTCAGGGTTCCTGCTTCATAGAAGAGTCTGTTGAACATTCTGCAGAACACAGAAGAAAGTGACTGACAAACTACCAATAAAAATGGGATAGTTTCAAATTTCCTACTTCATTGAGAAATCTGCCAGATACTCTAGGCTTATAGGCTGAATATGGATGTCCCAGCATTACAAGAGAACTTTGGGTAACTGTCTAGGTAGTCAGCTATCTGTCCGTTCTAGAGTTTTGGAAGTTACTTACAATGTACTTTCTGGTTTCTTTGGTAATATTATATCCTTATAATGTCTTTGATGGAGTTGAAGACTAGATAGTCATACTTTTCTTTAGTTATGATAAATTGTAAATTAGATATGAAACTTTAGACTCACAATGATAAAATAGATTACAGAATATTTTCTTTAATTTTGCCAAATACAAATGGAGTAAATACTATAACTATAATTCTTACTTGATAACCATTTTGTTATAAGTAATTTTACCATGTCAAAGTTAAAACCTTTCTTTTTAACTAGACAGACAAGAGGAGATAATGTGGGATTCCCCTCTGTATGCTGTGAATATGTTTTATTACCATTGGTTAATAAAGAAGCTGCTTTGGCCCTTCTTTATAAATAAATGGCAGGGCAGAATATTTCTAATCATGAAAGCCAAACTGAATACAGGGAGAAAGAAGATGAAATTGGAGACACAAGCAGCTCCAGTGAAGCAATATGTGAGGTAACAAGCCACAAGCCTCTTGGTAAAATGCAAAATAATAGTAATAGATTAATTTAAGTTATAAGAGATAGTTAATAATAAGCCTGAGCTAAAAAGGCCACTTTAAAATTAATATTAAGTCTCATGTGGTTATGTGGGAACTGGTAGGTGACAGAGAAACCCCCCCTCTTTCTCAAATATATTAAAGAAAGTCTCAAGCCTTATGTTGTTTCTTATGTGTAGGCCAATATTCAGCTCTGAAAAAGCAAAAGACATTTTCTTCCAGGGCTATATTGTTGTTACCATTCCCAAGGCTTCACAGTAGTGAGTCTTAGGCTCACTGGAGGCCCAATCAATATTTAAATTTCCTGATCCCATAAAAATATCACTTTTCTGTCCTGGTATACATTTATTCTGATATACCATGCATACAGTCACAGGGTATTTAGAAAGGAAGCATCTGGATGTATCTCACAGAATGGTCCCACTAAGAACTGCATGCAGAAGGCAGGCAGAGAGACCCCATAGGTTTTCCTTTCAGCCACACACCAGCAACATACCAGGTCTCTACCTTCTTCTTGGAGAACCTCTGAGGCTTCATCCAGCAAATAACTTCTTCCCTTTAGGTGTGCTCATTTAAAAATGATCTATTGCCCAACATGTGGACGGACAAATTCACAAAAGGACTCATCCACGAAAAGGCCAACAACTCTCAACACTATTGCAAAGAATCTGAAGCTTTATTTAAGGTGAAATCTGACGGGGCAAACATCAGGTTGACCTTGAAAGACAAGACCAAAGTCATACTTTTCAATCCTGCTGGCCAGCTTCACACCTATACAAGCACAATAGCTCTAGAGACTTATGTCTGTTCCATTTTAAGATGTGATATGCAAAATATTCCCTACCTTTAAATGAGAAAATATAGTAGCATTTTAGGACAACATTTGAAAACCTGAATAATCACCAAAAATATATCAGTAGATCTGCAACATAGGCACTAAAAGCGATTGTTGAAATTACGATTCAAAAGTAAACATGCCACTTGTTATGTGTCCTAATAGTGTTTTTATTTGGAAGCATGTAGATTTAGGGAGGCACCGGAGTATAGATATTATATCATCTGGTTTTATTCAACATAGTAATAAAATGAGAATAGTCAGAAAGATTTGCAGGGATAGGAAAAAATAAAACAGAAAATAAAAGAGACCTATAACCCCCCAAATTCTATGTGATACAACATTTGAGACCCTAATGTTGGGAACCAAGAACCCCAGTGATTAGCACAGGTTAACATGAGGTCTGTGCCTGGATGGAGAAACATGCAGAGTTTATTTGAATCTTCGTTACCTATGAGGTCATAGTCCATAGAGGGAGTCCATAAGTAATGGTTATCATCCAAACCTGCAAGCTGCCTATTTATGCAAATAAAATTTTCTTGGGATATAGCCAAACCCACTATCTCTAGCTGCAATCTGATCCAACAGCAACATTAAGAAGTTGCAACAGAAATTTTAATCTTGGGTCACAAGACCCTAAGAGGTGTGCTATCTGTCCCATTATAGTATAACTTTGCCAAATCCTCTTTGATGAACTAGAAATGATTTGGCAAATGTTTGGTGCATCGTAGCTGTTGTTATGGAACCATCCATTACTTGAATAAGAGTTGGGGTCCTGTAGCCCAGGGATCAAGCTTTTTCTTTACTTGTGAGATCATGTGAAAGCATCTTAGGGGGAAGCTCTCCCACAAAATATTTTGCTCAGGAGACAATGAAGACTCTCAACTTGTTCTTTATGGAAAACTGGTCCAAGGTAAGTGCTATTTAAAGGATACTGAGAAACCATTTCTTACAAGATGGTATAAACCTCAGGATGATAACTTACTCTGATGTAAGGGAATCTATGTATATGGCTGATGGGGGTAACACCACTGGCTTACAGGTGAGAAGTGGTATATTTGCCAGCATTCCATGTGGATTCGCTCCCACATTGCACTTATGAGTCTATCTTCAAAATATTTCGCAAAAAGTAAATGTATGCAAGGCTACTCATTTTTTTTAATGTATGTGTGTGATAGTATTACTTGTCAACCTGATGGAGCCCATGCTCGCCTGGAAGAATCATCTCTGACCAAGCCCATGAGTAATTATCTTAACTGGCTTAACTAAGGGAAAGCCCAGGCAATACCCTCATCTGCTGAGCCTCCAGTTGTGGTCAGATTGAGAGTTCTACATGGGATGCCACATGCCTCTGGGAGAAAGTCATTTGCTATATCTGCCCCCTTCAGTTCAAGGACAGAATTCTCGGAGGAGCAGCACTAACCAGACACAGATATCATTGCCTTCCTGATGCTACTGCGAATCATCTCCCTTGCTTGTGGGGAGATACCAGTGTGGAAACGATTAGGAGTAAGTGACACAATCCTAGCACTGTCTTAGAGCTGGTAAGATGTAGCTGCTTTAATAATTGGGGATAACCAATATAAATCTATATTTATTTGTATTAAAACAGAGTGATGAAAACAAGACCAGGTCAAGTCTACTTGCTACAGTTCTTCAATTATAGATCTCATCTTTCCGACTGTTTTGTGGTCCAAGCATTCTCAAATCAAAGTTCATTTTCTTCTTCACTTCTCCTCTGTGTAGAGGTGGGAACTTATTACCTTATTTGTATTTTACAATTTGATTTTTTGGGGGGACAAGTTCTCATATAATCCAGACTGGCCTCCAACTCCCCATACAGCTGAGGCGGGCCTTGAGTTACTGATCTTTGTGTCTCCATCCCTGAGGTGTGATGATTACCAAGCAAAGATTCTATGAACCAAGGCTCTAACTTTACAAAGACAGTGAGGCTCTGAAACATAAGGTGTGACATCATGTCCAAGGTCACAAAGTCAAAGAAGTGATGGCAAGGCTATTGATTCACAATGGAGAAATCACGTAGAAATAAATGGACAGTGATGGCTAACTGTGGGCTGTGCTAATCCTGGCTTACCTTTCAAAGCCAATCTGCCGGAAGGTCTTTTCCCACGTCGAGCCTGAAAGGTAAAGAGACCACAGTCAGCACACTCTGCTATACCTCACACGTCTGCGAAATGACATCGTCCCTCAAAGCCATCACTCCCACATCTGGTCTGCAGATGGCCTTTGCACATTCTTGGTTTTTTTTTTAATTTCATGCTTAATTAATAATACGGTGATAAAAAATAATTAGATTCATCACATCAAATATTCATCATCTCTGCAATGCAAACATTCAAAATCCTCACTCATGGCTATTTTGAAAACTACAGTAATGTCTTGATCGGTTGAGTTAAATACTGGGCAATACAAAATCAGAGTTTTTCTCTTCCATCAAACTGTAATTTTGTACTTGACCACTCCCTGACACACACACACACACACACACACACACACACACACACACCCTCTCCAGCTTCTAGTAACACCATTTTACTCTTTTTCCAGGAGGTAAGTTTTCCAGATGCCACAAATGTTACAAAAGCAAAGTCAGACAAATGGAATCACATCAAATTGAAGTTGGCAAGCAACCGTAATCCAGACATCACAGTATGTCTAATTGAGAAAAAAAATGTGAGTCTTATTCTCATTAAAAAAATAATGTAATGAGGGCTGGGAAGATGGATAAATCATTAAAATATTTGCTGTGTAAACAGGAGGACCAGAGATGGGATTCACACAACCCACAGAAGTGCTGGCTTTTATTAAACACTATCCCGGCAGATACTCTGTATGTGCTGAAGCTAAGGGTTTGTGGTAACTCATGGCATTTTTACATCTTTATTTTAGTCATTATGGCAAATCGTCCCCCATCTGGCATTCGGTGCATAAGTTGTGTATGCACCAGCTAATAGCCATGACAGATCAAGTCCTGCTATGTACTGGTGCCTTCGTCCCCCATCTGACATTCGGTGTGTAAGCTGATAGCCATGACAGATCACATCCCGCTATGTTCTGGTGCCTTATTCTGCAAGCAGGAGTGACGAGTTCAACATGTAGTCTCCAGAGGCTGCTAAGAAGATGCTCATAAAAGTCTGAGAAAACTGGGCTGGCACAGAACTCTTGAGAATTCTGCGCCAAATGCTTTATCTTCAAACTGCCACAGAGATATCCAGAGGCAGGTCAGTTTCCTGGAGAACACGGGCTCGCATGGAACCAAGAAACCCCAGGGTTGTCTGGACTAATGTCAAGAGAGGCTGAATTAGTCTTGAGGGACCATAAGCGGTACTTCACCAGGAGGCTGAGCCTGTGTTAACTGATCATGGTGGAGTGTTTTCGATAATTTGAAAGACTGGATTTCAGCGATGAATGGCATGCTGATTTAAACCAAATTCAGACGTATTTTCCGGAATGACGTCACTGGGATGCAGCAGAATTCCTATCGGCTTTGTGGGTGCAACTCAGATCTAACCAGGCCAGGAGTGTCCCTTGGCCCCAAGCCCAGAAAAACGGCCTGCATGTAAAGATCTTCCTTTCTGTGAATGCCATGCAGGATGATGGAGCATCCTTATCTCAAGAATTCTTTGAGGTGAATGATCTACTCTAGAAGTCCTATCAGATCATAAAGCAGTGACTATACACCTGTAGGTAGAAGCCAGGTGCTTGCACTGGACCACATTATGAGGTGGGAACAATGTCTCCTGTCAGAGGGTGAGGCTGACAGTCAGGAGCAGAGCAAGCATGGGGAGCAGTGAGGTGATGCTGAGAGGGGCTCGATGCTATTCTTCCTGATTTCCGCTTCCACTGGGAAACAACATAGCTCAATTTTTATCCATTTCTATCATTTTTCCTGATCTTCCCAATGTATTCACAGATTTTTTTTCCTCTTCTTTTAGCTCTAAGAAAACCTTTTCTCTGATTTCACTTATTGTCAAGGTAAAATTAAAATGTAAATGAAATGATTGACTTTCACTTATAGGGCCTACGTGATTTCTGAAAAAATACAAATTTAATCAAACAAGCAAGACAAATTTATAGTTTTTGACTCAAGCTGTCAGTACTCTTTGAAATAAATGTGGCCACGCCACTGGTCCATGCGAAGACAGAGAATGCCTTCTACCTGGTCTGCAGGATCTCGACGCATTTCACATCACAGGCTCATCCGCTTTTGCTGGTTGCACTTGCTCACCAGCCGCGTGTGCTAGAAATGGGTCTGGATACATTCAAATTGAGCTTCCGCCCTTAGGCCCCCAATACATTAGAGGTTTGGGTTTTTATGTCCTTGGTGAGCATTTAGTCGGGATAAAACAAGAAATTCTCAATAAATGGAACAGACAGACCCAGATCCTTTGGCACAGAGGATATTTTTGGCAGCTCATTATGCAGCTGCTGAGGAATTCTTTTAAAGCCATCAGCCGTGGTCCACAGCAGTAAGCTGATAGCATTTGCCTTTGCCAGTGTAGCCCTGCATGTCAAAAACGGCCGAGAAAACAAAAGCACAAGGCCAACTTCTTCAACTGAACCCTTTCCAAATGAGATTTGCAGGGGTCCCTCACCTGTGGTTTTCCATGCTGTAGTACCAGTAACCCACAGTCATCTGTGGTCTGAAATATTAAATGGAAAATTCCAGAAGTAAATGGCTCACAAGTTTTAAATGACTTTCATTACCGAAGATTACCATAATTATTCTATTTTATGAGCTGCTATTGTCATTAACCTTCCCGAGTCTCGGGTAGAAGTAACACTTTATCATAAGTGTGTATATAAGAGAAAGCACACGATCTGTAAGGCTTTGTGCAATTCTCATTTTAGCATCCACTGGGAGTCTCGGAACATGTCCCCAGAGGCAAGGAGGACCACTGTAACCCACAGAGGAGTCTAAAACGCCTGGATTTTCCAGGAGAAGGCAGGCAACACAGAGAAACTCCTAGCATACAGAAAGGGATGAAATTTTTAAGTTTTTTTTCTTTTCAATCCAGATTGTGTAATTAGAAGCCATGATGTATGATTCTTCACTTTTAAAAGCTGCCCATTAGTTAGTGCGCCAACATCCCGCTCAACAGAACTGTAATCTAGAGCAGAGGGTGGTAAAGCGTGGATGGAGTCCTGCTGGAGTCTAAGGACATTCACTTGAGGAGGAAGACCCAACATCTGAGCTGGGGATTTCTGGGTGACAATACTCCATAGAGCCTCCTGCCGACTCTCAGGAGGGGCGTCCTAGAGAAGACAGCCATGCTGTCTCCCCAGAGGATGCATACGAAGAATGTTCTGCCTCTTGAGTCTCATCCTACAGCTCTGTCTCCTTATTAGTTTTTTAAAACTTAGACTGATTTATTTATATGTGCATATGTGTGTTTGTGTGTATGTGTGTCATGTCACAGTGCACATGTAGAGGTCAGTGGGCAACTTGTGGAGTTGGTTTTCTCCTCCCAACACATGGATGCTAGGGATCAAACCACAGTCATCAGGCCTTGAGGCAATTGTTTTTGCCTGCCGAGCCATTTTACTGACCCCTTATTGGTGAGATTTTATTTATTTATTTATTTATTTATTTATTTATTTATTTATTTTTTGATTTTTTGAGACAGGGTTTCTCTGTAGTTTTTGGTGCCTGTCCTGGAACTAACTCTTGTAGACCAGGCTGGCCTCGAACTCACAGAGATCCGCCTGCCTCTGCCTCCCGAGTGCTGGGATTAAAGGCGTGCGCCACCACCGCCCGGCCGAGATTTTATTTTTTTAATAGATTTTTTTCATACATTATATTTTTATTATGATTTCTCCTCATTCAACTCCTCCCAGATCCTCACTATTTCCCCACCCATCCAAACCTACACCCTTTCTTTCCTTTCTTCTCTCTATCTCTTTCTTCCTCTCTCCCTCCCTCCCTCCCCTTCCTTCTTTCTTTCCTTCCTATCTCTCTTTTTCCATTAGGATACAAGCAGGCACCTAAAATAACAACAACAATAATAAAATTAAAATAACAAACCAGAATTGGATAAAATTGACTAGAAACAAGGAAAAAGAGCCAAAGAAAAACTGCAAGAAACACGTACACACTCTGAGACACACACATATGCATGCACACTCTGAGACACACACATATGCACACACAGAAAACCCACAAAAACAAAAGGGACCTGTAAGATTAAAAAGAAAAGAAAGAAAACTTCCAACACTACTACAACAAAATGAGTTCATTTTGTGTTGACCACCTACTGCTAGGCATGGGGCTTCCCCTTAAATGTTGTTTGCAGACCAGGTGAGACTCTGTTGGAAAAATTAAGTTTTCCCTTGTGAGCAGTTGTCAATTGAAGATAACTTCTGGGCTAGGGATGGGGGCTGGCGTCTGCTTCCTCTCTCAGCCCTGGACCCCCATCTGGCTTAGAGCCCCGCAGGCCCTGTGCGTGCTGTCACAGTCTCTGTGTGTTCATATGCTCATCGGTCCTGCTGTCTTTAGAGGACTTTGCTTCCTCAGCATCCTCCATCCCCTCTGGTCCTTATGCCTCCTCTTCCACTGGGTTCCCTGAGTCCTGAGGGGAGGGATTTGATGGAAACAACCCACTTAGGTTGAGTGTTCCAAGGTCTCTCACTTTCCACATCTTGCCTGACTGTGGGTCTCTGTGTTTGTTCCCATCTGCTGCAGAGGAAGCTTCTCTGATGATGGCTGAACAAGTCACTAATCTTTGAGTATAGACGAATGTGGTTAGCAAGTCATTTTAGTGAGCCTTTAATTGCTATGTTAATTTCCAATGTGTAACATTCTTTAAAATGGGTAAAAATTCTTAAAAGTGCCTCATCCTCCTCCCCAGTATTTGTTTGCCTGGACATTAACAATGCAGCGGCTGACATCATTAGACCCTTACAAGGTGCTGGACTTACGCGCGTTAGCTAAGCAAATCCCCGTGAACATTCAGTGAAGACATTACTATTATTCAATCCCACCTCAGGTGAGAAAACCAAGGTTCAGATTAATGCCAACTTCACTCTGCTTCGCCAAACTTTAGGCACTGCATTCAGGTCTTGCCTTCTTTGACAGCATGGGTACTTGTCTCAGAGCCCTTGTCTTCCTAATTAACCC